AAAGAAGAAAATTGCTCGCTTAATCATAAAAGTGTTATTCAAGGAAAACCACAATTTAACGACATGTCGATATCGATAAAGGGAGGTGGTCAATATGTAATTTACATACAACACGTGTATATTAACTCTGGTAAATTGCAGTTCGTAATCTAGTGTACACACTGCTTGCATACGGTGATTTACGATAAGACATATCGATATTACATAGGTATATTGTAAATTATGTCAAGTTGTAGACGATTAACTACCGTCCAGTCGCCAGACTGCCTATCAAAGATAAATAAATACAGGAAATATACTTTGTACAAAATAATTCAGACAAAAGTGCATTGACCTTTTTCTCTGCTGTGTATGAAACGAGCGCCTGCACCGTGTCATGATTAGCCACAGTTTGTATGACAAGCGATATGGGGTCAATGCTCTTCAGTCCTAATTTATTTCGCACATACCATAGAAATTACTGCTTTTGATATATTGACATAGATACTCTAAGATAGCATTTTCTGTTAAGGGCTTCACGTGTATCTTTTTACTTTACACCTTCTATTTTAATAGATTTAACAAATGTTTATCAGGCCGTCCTCCATCTACCCTAATACTTTTATCAACTCGACGAAACTCATAAAAATAATGCAGATACACGCATTCTTATCAACGCAAACACTCTGGATTTATCATAATCAGTCCAATCAATTTCCAGCCAAAATCCAAGATAAAAACCCTGTCAATTCTAAGTAGTTGATACAAGACAGTGGTATAAAAATTATCGGAACAGATTACTGTGATAACACGAATTTACAATCTTGTAGATGGTATCAGCTACTTATGTTATTATCCAAATAGCCCTGCGATATGACTAATCTGTGATATTGCGAAACTAAAAATAATCATTTCCTATCGCCAACACATCAACCTAACCCAGGGGTTCAGCTTGTACTGGACTTTCTTAGTATTTGTATGATAAACCAGTATAAATTTGTTCCTTAAATGGGTAGTTTGATATGCTGGTCATAGTAATATCAGCAGCACTTTCTTCTACGGGGATTAGTGGAAAACACGAGAAGTACCGAGTTCTTTTCCTGTTTATCAATTGTCATATTTTTAGAGCTCTATATTTCTAAACATTTTGTTGTTGACGATAAATAAATAGAGATAAGTATCCTTCTATTTCTTCTGCTCTTACGTAAAGTGGCTCCCCATATACATACAGTTTTTAAGATTGAACCAGTATAGGTTATTGCCGGTAGTGCGATTTCATCGAAGCGCGTAATTTGACACGAACACGATAAATTCGTGTACGTTGTGTTATGTAGAGCGAAGAGAGTGTAATATTAACTGTGCTAATTGTCGAAATCATACTTCCAAATAGAGTTGTACGTAGGTCCGTATCATCATTATAGGTTTTTGTCTTAATCAGACAACACTACATAACGTTCAAGCGGTCCTCATACGCGACTCATTTTCCAGTGTTTTGAGCGTTTTATCAATTAGGAATATTTCGTATTCCTAATTGATAAAACGCTCGCCCGGATATAATAGGGCACCTCGCCGCATCATAACGCGATAGTCACATGTCATATTTTTGGTGGCTGTCACGAACCGCAATATCGTCCGTGTGCGTTTCACCTTTGTTCACATCTAGAAACAAGGCCTCGTATGACCAACGGAAACACAAACCATTACCGGCCGGGCGGCTCGTTAAGCTCGGCAAAAAGCTCGTGCATAGTAATGATTGATTCATCCATTCCATACAAACCGCTTGTGAAATTATCCACTGTCTACAAATCGGTCGATTCACGTCCGAGAAACTTGTTTGTGTTGCTTTATTGTGTTCACGTAAGCGGTTTCTCTTTGCGAATAAACCACGATGTTTGTATTGCTTTTAGGTTGCGTTAGAATGCGGCGCACAATTACATTCGCAAATAAGATGTGGGCTCCTCAAATATCTGACGTTGTTTTTCGGCTGTCGAGTAATTTACACGGTTATAAGCGCTCTTGTAAAAAGTGCCGAGTCAAAAAGGCTTCACGCTTTAGGGGCAAGATACACAGAGGGCAATAAACGTTTGGCGTGGACCTAAACAAACAGGGGTAGCTAGGAAGCTGGTGTTTGTTTGGCGAGGAGTGCGAGTCAACAGTCCCTCAGACGGGGCCCCTCCCGCGGGGCCCCGGGCCGGGGGGGCAGCCGCGATATGTCCTCGCTAATCTGTCAATCAGGCGACCCGGCGCGTTCCTCACGTTAAGCCAATTTGGAACTCCGACAGCGTCCGTTTTCGATACAATCAACTCTAAAATCGGCTATCACTGATCGGATTTTCCTTTGGATTTTCGTTTCAATTTTAAAGACTGACGTTTATGGCTTAACGATTTGAATTTCCGAGTTAATCTACTAATCTAAAGCAAAGATACGTTTAGCAAGAATATGAAATTTAATTTTCTGTCTGAATTTCGAGTCATAAAATATGCACTCGCAGAGAAGATTACAAAGTTGATAATCGCATTCAACATACGTACCTACTTACTTACAAAGTGTATAATGGAGTGTCTACTTATCAATACCATCGGAAATTACCTACACTAGCACCCTTTAAAGGCAATCACGAGCTAAATGCCAACGCGCACTTAAAATGGCTATTATAAACGAATTGACATTATGGGGCTGACCCTCGTTCAATTGCTTATGAATGGAGATTCTTAAACGTGTGATCTACAATAGTGGCTCTATAATTATGACGCAAAAAAGATTTGTGAAATGATTAAATAAGAATACTTGATATCGGTGCTAGCGATGCCACTAAAGACTGGGCTACCGCGGCTCAATCGTTGCGCCTGTGAAATTATGCAAATGTATCATAATTGCAAAAAAAGTATAATATGGAAAGAACAAAACAGAGCTAATAAGGTCTTTGTCTTGCAAATTGGCGTGCAATAGATCTAAACTTTTATAAAAACTAAAGCAATATCGAAGCTCTTCAAAGGAACTAATAGGTACGCGTAGAGTCGTTGCTACAAAATAATACATTCTATCTATTTTCAAGTGTCTTCGACTTTTCCTGGATACTGCACTTGTAGCATTACTAATGAGGTAGACAGATAGAAAATCCCTTTCTATGTGTATTTACGAGTCAAGTGGTCTCGGGTTGCGATCCATATCGCAATTACAAACTGATGACAGCTGATGTGGCGTAGTGGTAGTGGGACTGCCTGCGAACCAGAAAGTTTCGGGTTCAATTCCCGGTGGGTCACTCAATAAGTTAATATTTATCACTTTGTGAATTCGTTCCCAGTCTAGTTAGGACATTGCAGTCTGACCCACCTAATTGTCTGAAAATTGAAAAGTAAGATGGTTCCATGGATCGGTGAGCACGTTAAGCTGTCGGTCCCGGTTGCTTTCTATGATTTCTTAGATGGTGGTCGTTACACATACACAACCGTGTCAGAGTCCTACTACTTGTACTACACCAGTGTTCATCGAGCAATTGGACGACTCGGTGTCCCACTCGAAAAGAAGAATTCCCTTTCGATGTGTATTTACGAGGTCGAGTGGTCTCGGGTTGCGATACATATCGCAATTACAAAGTGATGATGAAGCGACACCGGTAGTGCCCTCGACAGTGTGGCCGCTTGTGGTGGGATTCTACTGTTTGAAACCATTTTTAAAACCACATATTTTACGATTAGCAAAACGTGAATGTGTGTTGTCATTTGTCATTAATTTGTGCTTGACGCGAGGTGCTACGCCGTGAAAATTACTGGTTTGTATGGGCTTGTATGAGATACCAGAAAGACACGCGGCATGCCGTCCATACTGGAACTACGCTTGAAGTTTATTTTGACCTCGGTGTGACCAAAGTTAACGCGCATTTAGACAGTGTTTAGATTAGTTTAGATTTGACGCTGTCAGGCGACTTAAATCATCTCTAACTTTTCATGTTATAACACGGTTATTGTTTTATTTCTCATCCGTTGACTAGCATGCCAAGCATATTGATTGAACATATTTGTTAATCCAATAAATTCGACTATTTAAAACTCAGTATTTTCGTAGATCTTAAAACGATATATCCTGTCATTGGCATACTGATTTTTATGACATCACAGGCTATATTTCTTTTAGAAACCTGGCCACACCACTCGACTCGATAGTCAGTCGATAGTCGATATCGAGATAACGACACGGCCTCACTACCGCCCACTTCTGCCTCTCGAAACGAGTCTCCTAGTAATTATATCCATTTGTTTATAATGAATATTAATGGCGCACCTTTCCGTCCATTCTGTTTATTATAAGTATCGACGGTGGGAGCTGGCAATTATTTTAAGTAAAGCCAATTATTTTGTCGTCCGCCGGTAGCAGTCTGGATAATTGGAGTGTATGTTAAATAATAAAGTACGATGTTCTAATTTACACCCGTGTCGTATGATGACTGTGTTTTTTTATTGTTTGTTTGAGGGAATTACCTACGGGAATGGAACGGAGGGAGTCACGAAATAAACTTAAAGTAGACGTGCTTTATTTAAAAGGCAATCGTGTACTTCCACGGATTAATTGGTATTAGGTACTAGGTACGATTTTAAATAACTTGCAATATCACGACGCACAGGCAGGATTCGAACTTGCAACGATCGCTATCACTTAGCGTCGCCTCTTACCGCTACTGGGCCACCGTCACTAGTATGTGTTGATAGCCAGTCCTAGCGACGCCTCTAACCACTGAGCTACCGTCGCTAGTAAGTAGGTTCTAATATGGAAAGTTGCTTGATCAAATCCCCATATTTTTGTGTAATTTTACAAAATCATTTTAAATAAATAGTATGATCTCTGTCTGTGAGAACTCTTTCGTAGCGCGGGTAGTACAGTAGTTGAGCAAATGAATTATCGATGCGGCGTTCGGTCTGGTAATGCGGTTTGGCGGGTTGTTCAAACCAGCGGCTCCCAAAGTTGGAAACTTGAGAAACTGAGTATCTCTAAGGAGGTTGAGAAATTCATCAAGGTCCGCCAGGCGACCGTAGCTTAGTTGACAGAGCGGTGGGACGGTACCTCACGGTCCCCCAGGTTCCAGTCCCGGCGGTCGCTAAAGAATTTTCCAATTTTCTCATTTTCAATTTAAATACGTTTTTTGCCAACCAAGAGCTAAACGTAACTGCAAAATAAAACGCAGACAGGATTCGAACCTGCCACTTTCGCTACCGGTACTAGCCTCTAACGACTGGGCTACCGTACCTCAACCGAGATCTCAACGAAACTGCAAAATATAAACTGAAGGCCGAATTTGAACCTACGACTTTCGCTATCGGTACTACCGACGCCTCTAACCACTGGGCTACCGTACCTTAACTTTAGGTGTTATGCAAGTAGTTGAGCAAATGAATTATCGAGGCGGTGTTCAGTCTGGTAATGCGGTTTGGCGGGTTATTTAAACCAGCGGCTCCCAAAGTTGTTTAAAGTACACCGCACGAGAACCGAAACTCGAGAAACTTTGAATAACTCAACTATCATGGTCTCTCCACTAATTAAAGAAATTTGCGCATAATTTTAAAGTTGTAATCACTTTCTAATAAACGGACAATTGGGAAAAGTATTTTTATTTATAACTACTGTCGAAAAGCTGAACGATGCTGCATTTACTTCTTAGACATAATTCGAACCTGTGACTTGTTATTGGTGGGTACTGAACTAGCGACACCTTTAGCGACTAGGCTACCATTAACCGCTTGTTGGGTAGCTCAGAGTTTTAGAGGTGCCGCCAAATCGAATGGTCAAAGTTGCAAGTTCGTATCCTGCGTGCGGTGTAAATTTTACAAGTCTATAAAAATTATATTAGGTTGTACTCTCACGGACCCCACCTCAAGTCACACCCAGTTTGAAAACCACAGGTTTAAACAATTATTACTCGGCGATACGAATCGATGATAATGTTGGGCTCCGTCTGGTGCAATAATAGCTCGATTATCGACTGGCCTGCCATTCTGCCATTTCCCTGTTCGAATAATTTATTGGCCAGCCATAAGAGCGGGGCTTTTCATACAATAGGGCGACTGTTTTGTTTAATAATGCGAAAAGTTTTTTTTTCGCCCGCCGAGGCCGTATGGTGTCGACTTCTTTTTCGAAAGAATTCTTCCAACGACCCGATGAACCCTGGTGTCAGAGTTTAGTATAGAATCAGCCTATATCTTTTCCGTGGGTGTCGTGAGATGCTACTAAGGGATTTGAGAGTTGATGTGTATTGCATTGCAATTATAGACTATAGGCTAAAAACCTGTCGCTATGATGTGGTGATAGGTACCTACACAGTGTTCTGAATGGCTATTAAACTTTTGTGAGGTTTAAATGCCCTTTTACGCTCTGCCTACACTGCAAGGGACATAGGCGTGATATATAGGAATATGTTTACTGACAGGTTGTCATTATAGTGACAGTTGGTCAGTTTGTCGCCTAAAATTGCATTACACATCACCTCTCAAATCACTTAGTCGCTTCTTACCCACTGAAAAAAATTGGGGTGATGCTATTCAAAGCCTGCACCACACGCCAAATATGATAAGTACTTACGCTGCGCCATAATCGCAAAGTTTTACTCACTCGCTTACTAATTTGAGAAGCAAAATGAAAATTTAAATAAATACAAAATAAATTAAGAGCTTGCATAAACTAAGTAAAAGAACGGGAGCGCTAATGAAGGTCGTAACCGCAGAGACGTGTTTCCCGAGTGCGGAGCGGTAGACGGCAGTGGGTAGAGGTTGTGCCACCATGTTCTTCAATGGACTATACAAAATAATACCTAAGGTTGGTCGCTGTAAGGAAAATCTCGTACGGTGGTGGGGCTATTCCACCATCCTGTTCCTGTGGTGCCACACCGCAAGACATGACCCACCATGCTGACCTGCCCGGCTTGCCCCAACAGCTGCTCGCTTGAGCTCGCACCATTGGGATGCCACCAATGAGGCTGTCCACGTGGCTACTAGGTACATACTGGTCTGGGCACACTTAAAAGTTTGTCACCGACACGACAGAAGAAGAAGATACAACAAGATCAAAATAAGTATCACAATCAAATCTTTATTGTTATTTGATTACTTTAATTTTTATAAATGAATCAAAATCGTTCTAATAACTCCTGAGGTATACCTACATACGTTGTAAAATCATCTAAGCGTTTTAAAAAATTTCCTACCGGCGGCGGCGATCGTATGAATCGTACCACCATCCTTGAACCTTGTATGGGGAGGTTGGATTTTTCATGACAGATATTTTTCTTTTTCGTGGTAGAGTTTAAAATTTTAGAGCATCATAGAACCACCGTTGGGTAAGTGGGTAGTGGGTAGCGGTGCCCGGCGGGGCCATTCCGCAAAACAATCGCGGTAAAAGTTCATCTGGGAAGTGCGCGCGGGTCACGCTTCCGCAAACGAATTAGGACCGCCGTTACTGACTGTACCTCACCCACCCGGCATTATGTTACTGACTGTACCTCACCTTACCCACCCGCCGTTATGCGAATAGTTGTTGTTTTGTATTTTACAATTTCTAAGCGTGAATAGAGGTGAAATAAGACCCAAAGGGTCAGGCAGACGGAACCTAAGCATCTGCGTAACTATACCATACCCATGACATGACATGGGCCTCCCCCTACCTGGGTATTGCCATACTCACCACGCTTGGCGAAATGGCGTAGGTGGAAGATGTTGCATTTACAGAAAACGCTGCTGCCCGTTCCCTGGCTGATAATCCCAGGTGCTTACCTATTACGACACACACGGGTAGACATAAAAAATATCTTTAATCTTCATACGTAAATAGGTCTGTGCTCCACACTTCAGTCTTCTCTGCTACGTGACACGAAATCTGACGCTCGAAATATCTTTTCACAATTCAATCAGGGCGGCTTACAGGTCATTCAGTCGGCTGCTTGTGATTCAGACCGCATCGGTCGCTACCGCAGGCCGACCCATACCTAGGTGTAACTAAATTGCTGCGTGATAAAGTCAGAGAGACCAGCGTTTACACCTCAGTCTTGAGAATAGAAAAAGTGCTCTGAAAACTTGGTCGAAATATCTTTTCACAATTCAATCAGGGAGGTACAGGACATTTTAGTCGGCTGCTTGGAATTCTGGCCACACCGGCCGTGACCAAAGGCTGGCCTATAAATTGCTGCGTGGTACAGCCAGAGACCCATTACTCTTGAATTTTGAGGAGAAACGCAGACGCACCGGACGGTTCATGGCAACTTCTGAACGCCGCAATTTTATGCGGCGTGCGCCGTGGTATCTATTATCGCATGAAATTCTAAAAGTTTCTTTTTGTATGCCAACACAACGTGCTACGGAAAAACACCGTTCGGTACGGCAAGTGTGGGATTTGCCGAAGCCTGAAAAACCGATGATGCGTCACCTTAAATAAAGTCGCTACTTTATCACTGACTTATCAAATTCGCTGAAGCCGTTGGACAAATAACAAATAATCCTTTAATTCGATAATCCTAGCTAAACGGAACAATAGATAACACGTTACAACATTTGTTCACACTCATGTAGGTAGGTAATTACTATCACTTGTCCGTCATACAATGGCTCACGTGGCGAAATTGCTTCAGACAATCACTCATAGGCGTTTACCACACTTGACGTCTTTTGCTGCGTATTTCTAGCGCATAAATAATGTTTACCCTAGTCTAAGTTTTTATATCGGATATTAATAAAGTATTTTTCATTTTCATTTTCATCCTTATCGCATTTGTCTGTCAAATTCAAGGAAATTTCAAATTCCATACCAAAAACTTGCTTTGTTTGACAAACGCATCTGTTTTTTAGATTTTTTAGATGTTGTTAACAACTAAAATGTTATTCTATTGGGATTTTAATGCACTCACAGTGCTATAAATATTATTCTCACAAGTGAAAAAAAGAAATAGAAAAAATAAAATGTTATGTTTAGACCGTAATTACCTGAGGTAAACAAAATATTTATTGCGGCATAAACCCCGGTCTAATCTAAAATTAAAGACGCATAGTCTCTGTTGCACTTATGGTACATGCAACCTAACTTAAATAAACCTATTTCTTTTGCACGAACGGAGGTCACGTGTGAGAAATGCCATACCTACTCTTATCTTATGGGAGATTTATAAGCTACGTTCCGGACACGACAGCCAAGTTTCTACTCAATTAATCATGGGTCGAATTAGCTGTCCTGTCTAACAGCCGTTCCCGCTGAGACGAAACACATTTCTCTGAAGTATTTCGTTTCTCTTAGAAGGGTTGAAACATACTTGCAGAATTTCTGAATCTTCTTATCTTGAATATGATTACAAAGATTTTCCGTACGTGTTTTCATAGGTATCCCCTGCTGTCTGAATATCACATAAACGCAATACATATGTGTTTCTTAATTTCTTATTTCTCTTAGCAGACAGAATATAATCATAATATTTATCGCGTAATATTATCTACTTTTCAATAAAATAAAATAAAAATTTCACTATAAATAAAAAAAACTACGCAAAATTACGTAAATGTGCTATTAATTACTTATATTAGGTCCGGTCCTAGCCCTAGTAGGTACTTGAAATTTGACGTAACACGTGATGAGTCCGAAATATTTCTATGTCACAGCTACTAGAAAACTTTGAGTGTCAAATGTGACACAAACAAAATAAAATCTTCGAGAACAGTAAGGCCGTGTGTAGACTATGTAGTACCAACTTATGTTCCTGCTCACGATTCTCCACGTGCGTCTTCAATCTTACTTAACTGTTTGCGAAATGCGGTTATGCACTTACTTCAAATTGCACTCGGCTTCAGTTGCTTACTTTATTTGCATGCACAAGTTTGCGGCCTGCTTAGTGCTTACTCATTTGTATTTTAAAGAGAGATGAGTTTTTTTTATACAAAGTTTCCTACTATGCCTTGCGTTATTGACATTTAAGATAAGCTTACTTAATTTTGATAGGTGCTAGTTGGTTAGAGGCGCCGATAGTACTCACTGACATCGAAAGTCTTACACAAACTCTATCTAAAAATCTGCAAGTTTTCTAAACCCGCACCGTTGAAGTGCTTTAAACTTGACATCTTCATATTTTT